GAAACATCATTTATTGAAGGCATGGTTGAGAAACAGAGTCAAGCAAATGAAGGCTTCTGATTAGCCAGTTCCTGCAGGACACAAATATGCACTAAAGCTCAAAGCCCCTCAGACAATCATTGGAAACCCTTTACACTTAACTTAAATATGATCCCCAAAAGTTGGTTATCTGATTTCTCAGAACCCAGCAAATTAGAAGCTGTAAGTTATTATAGGAAGGAATAGCTAGGGAAATAGGTAACAAGTGACAACCTGAAACAGAGAAAAAAAAAAAAAAACCACTTACAAAAAAGTATACACAAACATTTTTTAAAAAAGCGTCCCAGAGGTTAGCTATCCAGGACATCAGTAAATAGCACATTCACTACCATCATATGATGACAGAATCATTTAGTCAATAAATATTTTTGAATGCCTATCATGTTCAAGACATTGTGCAAAGTGCTGAAGATACTAAAGTGAACAAGTGAAGAGAACAACAGCAAAGCAGCAGCTAACTTCCACTGGGTGTTTATTACAAGCCAGTGCTAAGTGCTTCATGTACATTTCACTCCACCCTAGCAACAACCCATACAAATGAGATAACTGTTGGTATACAGTCTTAGAGCTGAGAAAACGTAGATTTAAAGAAGTTAATTAACTTATCCAAGACCGCAGAGTTACTCAGTGGTTATGAACTGGGATTTGAGTTTATGCAGGATTCCTCTAAAGTACTTGCTCTGATACTCTACTGCCTCAAAAAATAAGCAGAACCTGTCGTCAGAATGTGTATAGTTTTGCAGAGAAAGAGGCAATTAAAATAGTGTGATTGGACCTACAATAGAAGAAAGCATAGGATGGTATGGGGACACATAAGGTAAGTCTAATCCTCACGGGGCTTGTGATGGGGTTGGGATTGCTTTCTAAAAATTCTTAAAAGTTTCAAAGCTTTAATAATACACAGTACTAATATTATTTTAAAAGGCATATATGAGGGGCACCATTTTTACAAAATGTCACCATTTCTGAAGTTCTAAAGGGGATGAAAGCAAATTTGACATTTTAAACATAGAACCTGAATTTAGTGGAACATCAAAACCAAACACCTATTGTAGCATTATAGTATATGGACATAATACACTGCATCTAATTGATCCTAAAGGCAGAAGAACACCCTACCTCCAAACCTGCCTATGTATAAATACCATGGCTTAATGAGTCAGAGGCAAATGAATCTTTGGCAAAAAAGTGCTGTTTTTGGAAGTCGCCCTGTGTGCCCAGGTGTTAATCACGACGCGGTCTCACACGGACCTCAGTGGCTTCAGCCCTGCGCGGCGGGGCCCGACCCGGCGCTGGCGCTGAGGACGCCTCGGGAGGGGTCCCGGGGGCGCCGACCGGGCCCCACACCCGCGCGGGAG